GCCATTTCTTACAACATCCATGGATAAGGGGATGTCTGGTTCACCACAATTCTTGGGAAAGTAGTATAGTTTAAGATCGCATACGAATAGTGTGAAAGGTTTTGTCTTATTATAAAGTTTATGATAATTAGTGGTAAGTGTCTTAAGTGTGATCCGATCGACAGCACCGGTAGACCAATTGTGCGAACAGTCAAACTCCAAGACTAAATAATTGCTATTTTGGTGATTGTCTTCATCCTTGTGGTAATCATTAGTTTGTTCGCATCCTTCGCCAAAATACTCATTCAAATAAGCCTTGACTTTGAAGTCGTTACTAATCCATAGGCTCTTGAGATCTTTGGCGTATAATTGAATTAACATGTAATCTATTCTCACGTCATGTGATAAATCAAAATATATGGACTCATCCGCACGTCTGATCATACTTTTGACACAATTTTCCGGTGGTCTAACTCCCGGTGCTGTCTTAGATGAGCCAAAACTTGCCGACATTTGTGACAAATCTATTTGTTTCCGTTCACTTGAAAACTGAATTCCTGTCACAGAAGTCTCGTTCAAGTAATTGATTGCTAAGTATAAAAAAAGTTACGACAAATATAAATTTTAAAAAATATTTTTTTGGTTAACACATACCACATCGTGGGACACTACCTGTCCAATAACCCCGGACACAATCCCGTATTTCATTTCCAACCAATAGATTACTACTATTTTCGCATTCATATAAAACACGAGTAGTTTCTTTGAACATAATATTTGTTAATGAAGTTAATGAACCATTATTTACAATATTAAGTATAGCACCGGGAGGTTTGGCTATATGCCCACAATAACACCCCTGGCCATTATTTGCCACATAACAGTCGTGGCTTAAACTGTGTTTTATGTACATGGCATAGTAAATCATAAGTAGTATTGAAAACATTAGAAATGTTATACATTATAATTTTGATTAATTATGGAAAATTTTTATATTTATGTTGGAAATACTATAATATAATGTTTATAATTTGATCGCTATTAAAAAAGATGACTAACTTGTAAATACTGTTTGGTTTAATAAGTTTTCCCGGATATAGTGGAAATTTTAATTCAAAGTATTTTATTTACACATCACATAACATTGAGCTGATTATATCAATATAATTGTGTGGGATATACTATTATTTGACATCATTTTAATACGACTGTGCTAGTTGCATTGAAATTGAATTTGAATTTCTATAGAAATATTTAAAATTTTAAAAATAATAATAAAATAATAAAATAATAAAATAGTAATAATAGTAATATAATAAGAATTTGAAGTAATGTAAAGGAATTTAGTGCAAATTAATTAAATTGAAATTATTTATTGTGAACCAAAGTCAATTACTAAATGATTTTTATTCAAGTAAACATAAATAATAATTTAGTATCATTAAAAGACTATTAAAAAAAATATTTATTAAACAATTTAGTATTATAAATATAAAGTTATATGACAAATTAAACTAAAATTTAAATTAAATTATTTTTGAAAATTAATACTGTATAATACTGTATATATAAATATTTAAAATAATATATAATATTAGTTAATAAAATAAATATTTTGTATAAATATCAAGGGAATAACTATTTTTTATAAATTATAAAAACTTTTACAATTTCATATACCTACTGTGCGGCATCCGTATATAATCATTAAATATCGTGTCCACTATCATTAAAATATTTATTGAGGACTTGATAAATAAAATCATTTAGTTTTACCGCTAATACACTAGTTGTCCTTCAATTATAAATTGTTTATTAGTTTGCTTTTCATCATTTTGATTGATACATGTATATAAAAAATTATGCATTGATTGACACAAAACTATTTCCACAATTATCTGTATTCATGACTACATTCAAACAAACAAATCAATTCACACTAATGTATAGTTTTCTACTAAAACTACTTTTACTAAACGTATTGCTAATTAATTCGGTGTCCAATGAAAGTATAAATACTATTCATATAAATATATAATTTAATACAAAAAATCATATATAACTTGAAATAAATATTTTTATACAGAAATACCGACAATAAAGCTAAACAATGGTCGGGAGATGCCTGTGGAGGGGTACGGGTGCTGGAAGATAAACTACGACAGGGTCTGGTCGTTGGGCTCGTGGCTGTTCAACGACGACAACCGGGCCGGTCAGGTGGTACTGCAGGCCATACGCGCCGGCTATCGATACATAGACAGCGCCTACTTCTACAACGTCGAGAAGGGTGTCGGACACGCGTTGAGGTATGCCTTCCGGACGGGTATTGTCAAGCGGGAGGACATGTTTATCGCCACCAAAATCTGGAATAACTTCCACCGAAGGGATCGCGTGGTTGAGGGTATTAGGAGGTCGTTGAGGGACATGGGTCTGGATTATGTTGACCTGGCTATCATTCACTGGCCGATGGGTTTCGAGGACGGGGATGACGTGTTTCCCATGTATTGGAACTTATCTAACGTTCCCCGGGAGTGGTCTCGCAATGGGTTTGTGGAGACCTGGCAGGGGATGACCGACGCCCTCGACATGGGTTTAGCCAAATCGATAGGTGTTTCCAATTTTAATATAAAACAGTTGAAGGTTTTGATGGACAGCTCCAAGATTAAACCGGTGGTCAATCAGGTATGTCATAAAATTATATAAAATAATTAATACTATTCCCAATAAAGTGTACTTGTTAAAGTTTTTATTTATTTACAATTATACAGTATAAACTCTTAATATGATAGCTATTAACAGTAATGTTAAATAAAATGAGTACAGTATCTTAAAAAAGTATTTTGTAAAGTAGATATTCTTTAGTAAAGATTATAAGTTAATAAAAATGTTTATAAGTGACAAATAGGTATATACTAGCAAGCACAAAATATAAAAACTATTAAATAGCATTTTTGTCATATTAATCATAATATTTTGGCTATACTTGTAGGTGGAGTGCAATCCATACTACAACCAAAACAAAATGTTGGAGTTTTGTCAGCAAAACAATATAGTGATGACCGCATACTCGCCCCTCAGACAGGGCTACGACTTGCTGGACGACCCCAACCTGAGACGCATAGCCCGTAGACATAACAAAACCGCGGCTCAGGTAGCCTTGCGTTGGAATATACAGAGGGGAGTGGCGGTCATACCAAAGTCAGAGCGCCGGCGGCGGATGAATGAAAATATTAATGTGTTTGACTTCGAGCTCCGGGATGATGAGATGAAAGCAATTGATTTGTTGCGACAAATGCCGAAACTATTGACTTTTGGCACCACTAGGAGTCACCCGGACTACCCGTTTCACGATTCCTATTGAATTGTAAATAAATTTCAATGATTATGGTTATTTAAAAAAAATTATTTGGGATTTATCTAGATATTAATAAATATTTAAATTCATTCTGACTTTTAATTAATTTTTATTTATTTATTATGATATTTATACATACACATTTTTCAAACATAATAAGCTAGATAATCATATTATACCTTATAATTTAAATCTAAATATTCATGCTGATAATCATGCACTGGTGGTGTCACATTTTCGTATTGATAAACGTGTTCATAGTTTGCATACTCATAATAATTAGCCAGGTCGGTGTCTACGTACAGACTATCATCATATATACTGATCGCCGGTTTTCTCGCATTTCTCTTTGTATTCCTCCTATTATTCCGTAATCTTATGGTATAGACAATGAATGCCACGATAGTTGATATACAAAACAATAATACCGACGACAGGACTATCACTAGCATTGAAGACATGGGAAGTGTTTGTGTAATACTTCCAGTTTCGGTGACATTACCCACACTTTTGTCAATGAATACACATTTGGTGTTGTTATCAATGGGCAAACCATACCATTGACTCGCATTACACCAGATATTTCGCTGGCCCACCAGCTCATACATCCCTGTCCTCTGTAGACTTGTATTACAATTATGGCATTTATTATGAACACACGATATGTCGGCAAACATACCGTTCGGGACATACAGTTCCCTATCTATCGTAATGTTATTCTTATACAGAATTTCAATACTCTTATCCAACACTTCAACATCAGGTAACTTGCAGTAGGACTCGGGTATGCATTGGGGAAAGGGATCCAACCATTTCCCATTAGCACCGCATTCAACATTCGCCACACCATTCAACACATACTTATCATTAGTACAGTTATATCGATAGACAGTAACTCCCAGTCCATTGGGCTCACCATCGCTGACATCCATCATAAGAGGCATATCTGGTGTACCGCAGCTGTCATTGAAGTAATACACCCTTAAGTCGCAGACAAATATCACTAACGGATTAAATCTCTTGGAAAACTCCAAGAAGTTTATGAACTCGACTCTGAAGTAAATCCTATCACTTAATGAGCCATTCCTTTGATTGCAGTCGTACTCGAGGGTCAGGTAATTGTCATTAATCTCCAGATTGTGGTCCAAATGGTTGGTGTCCGACGGATTACAGTAGTGGTCACCAGTCTGTCCAACAAATTTTATATACGCTTTGATTCTAATGTCTTTTTGTGTCCAAATTGTTTTGATATTTTGTGAATACAATCTGATCCTGATGTAATCCACTTTTATTGACTGCGATAGTCCAGGGTCAAACTCGTGCTTCTCGGTATATACCCACCATTTAAGGCAATCATTAGGTGGTATAGATTTCGGGGTAAATGCACCCAAACTGTTAAATCTGGGTATGTTTTCCAGTGATATCGCTGATATATACCGTTTTGGGGCACTTATGATGCTATAATCAGTTAAGTAAGTATTGTTGTCATAACTAGTAGCTGTAAAACAAAATAGTAATTAATTTTTAATTAGAGAGAGAGAGAGAGAGAGAGAGAGAGAGAGAGCATACATACCGCATCGGGGTACACTCCCTGTCCAATGTCCATAATTACAATACCTAGCGTAATTTCCAACTAATAGGGTATTATTTGCATTGCACTCGTAATAGATTCTGATATTATGTCCATAGAAACTCCTAGTAGAAATTGTAGCTTGTGGTGGCATTTTAGCAGTGGTTAACATGTCGGCACCGGGTGGTCGGGCAGGTGAGCCACAATAACAATTACTTTTCTTATTTAAATCATAACAGTTATCTGATAAGGAAATCTTTGTTAACACACCAAATATTATAATTTTGATAAAATTCATGTTTTAATAATTAGCATTCATTTTATTTAAAAATGTTCATTTAATACAATTAAACATAATTTGTGAGTTTCTAAAAATACTTGGCAATACTTCCCGGATATCTAAATGTATAAAACTTTTATACACGTAAATAAGAGTCTAAACAATTTATATACTTTATAAAAACTAACAAACGCAATAAAAATTACAAAAGCTAATAAAAAGTTAAATATTATTATTATTTAAAACAAAACTTAACAAAATGTTTTGTCAATTAATTACTCAATTGTAGAAACACAGATCATGCTGTATGATTTCTTATTGTGCTTGTTATCCAGTCAATTTTTCGTGATATTCTAACGAACCAGTTAATAGGCATTCCCTCTTGATTTAAACAATATTCATCTGCATTTGATGCCGTGGTTATGCCAATCACTACAGCCCTGCCATTAATATACTGGATTAAGGGTCCCCCGGAATCACCCTGTATATACATTTACACATTATTAAGAATATTATTGTTAAATATGTTATAATATTTGAGTAAATTATTTCAAAACACTATACATACTGTACAAATCAATGAGCCCCTGTATGTCAAATCCTTTACGATACTAACGATACTTAGGCCGTAGTGATCGGTACTGTTATTTAACTGGCCTTTAATAGGTATCCAACCCGTTATGGCATTATAGTCAGGGTTTAAATCAGTTTCGCTGATACTCCCGGTGCCCACCACAGCCGCCAGTTCATCATCGGTGTTAGTAATACCCGTTTCGGGCAAACAAATGCTATTCAAACGCCGGGCACCGTTAGCATCGGGACTAAAGTCCAGACTTTTATTGAGTTTAATTAGCGCTAAATCGTACTCAAAGTCACCAGTGTCATTGTGATAATCAGAGTGAATGTAGTAGCCTTCTACTCCGGCTAATATTGTACGTGCCCGATAGTTTGGTATTGGCCAGGCTAATACTTCTAACTCACTTAATGTACAGTTAGGACCGCAACTGTATGTCAACAATTAATTTAGCAAATTGTTATAACCAAACAATATAATGACTATTAATTTATAGCGGTAATTAAGTTGGTAACAAAATATTCATAATTATTGCAACTTAACTAGTTTAAATTAGAAAATTTTATATTGTATTACTTACACCAGATTATGAGCGGCCGTTAGCACCCACCTATCGTTTATCAACGCACCACCAGCTCTACCACTATTGTAATAAGCTAATTAGTTAATTTTATCCAGGTCTTAAATTAGCAAAGGATCATATTATACTTACAAATGTAAATTATAATCATAATCATCATAGTCTTCATGTTTATAATCAAAGTATAGCATGACCATCCAGGGCATTTCACCAGGCAAAGTGGTGCGACCATTGTATATATCGGGGGAAATGTCTTTAGTCTTATGGTATTTAAAACACGTGTCGTCCATAAGCCGGGACTCGAGTCCAAAACCACACGAATCGGTCGTAACGTTAGGGTAGTTCCCAATACGCGTGTGAATTGCATAATGGCTTACAATCAGTGAACCCAACGCTGAATACAATTAATTAGTACTTAATTTTTAGTTTTAATTTTAAATAGGTTTTTATGTACCGAATGTGAGTCCAAACAAAATGTTTTTCCAAATATTATCCATTTACAGTAAATTATTTATCAATACAAATGAATAATTATCGATTTAATAAGAAATAACAAAAACATAAATTATACAATCAATAAAGTATCACATTTCCTAGTATCGTATTATAACGTATTTAATATTCATAATTAAGGTTGCATAAATATGATTTTTAAAGTTATTTTAACTTAAGTTATTTCAATAAGAAAACGTATTTTATAATATATTATAAATTAAAAAATCCATAAAAATGTAGCTTAATATTTCCAGAATTTAAAATATATTTATTTAAGATAAACATGGTATAATTACTTAAATTAACTGAATATTTTTAACTAAAATAAAAATTAAATTTCAATATATTTTAAATGAATAGAGAATTACTAATGTTAGTTTAATATTGATAAATGTATTAAAGGATTAATATAATATAATATTGTTTAATTATTAATTAAAACTACATGGTTAATAAGATATTTAAGTTTGCATTAAATTATTAATAAAGCCCTTAAAGTTATTTATTATAATCATATGTATCGGTAGAATTATCGTTGTAATCATCCGGATCAATTGGTTGATCAGGAACTGGTGAGTTGCCGTTTCCAGGCACGTAATTGGTAATCACGTGGATGATCCAGTCCACTTTGTAGGACACTCTCACGTAATACGCTTCTGTGTCTTCATTTTCATCAATACATAGAAACTCTGAAAGGAATCCCATATTAATACCTATGAGTACAGCCCTGCCATCGATGTACTGGATTAGGGGTCCACCGGAATCGCCCTATCGTTGTAATCAGTCATTATTAATCATTGCATATTAAACGTTAATTGTTGTAAATTAGCATGTTACTAGTACAGTAATATTATGTATGAATATTTATATAACACCCAATTTTTGAAATAAAATCTTACAATAGAGTCCTGATTTAAAAATGAACTAGTTTAGTTACAATTCGATCGCTTAACACTGAATACTCGGACACTTTTAAACTTTCAATTTAATTCAATACCATTAAATTAACATTTAAAAATTAAATATTTATCTCGTTTTGGTCACCAGATATCACTGACATCCAAGCAACTAATAAGACATCATTCGCAATATATTAAACGTACATTACCCTGCAACAATTATATTATTGCAGCAATACGTACGCCGTGCAAAGGTTCATGCTAAAACATTTTGTCCCAAATGTTAAATCCAAATGTACTGTATGTGCTCTATTATACGTCAAGATTTTGCGTACTGTACGTACTTTGCGAATGACGCCGGTTTATACTAACGGAGCACATCCTGGCGCCCACGTGTTTAGGGCCACTGACGATCACAGCGCCCCACCTATCGGTGTAGTTATAAAACGGGGCCCTAATTGTGAGCCACCCGGCCATCAGCAGATCGTCAGCGTTAGGATCGTCGTTATCTAGCCATCCGTATCCGCTAATCACGGCGTACTCCACCTCAGTATTCGTGACGTTGCGCTCCGGGAGGCAAATGCTGTTGATATGATTGCTCGCGAAGT